ATATTTGTTTTTGATGTAATCATGGTAACCGCCGGCAAAACACTGAACATCATTACATAAAATACATTCATATGATGACTCTTCTCAAATCTTTGATATTTCGTAGTAATTGTGTTATGATATTTTTCAAGAACAGTGAGTTTACAAGTATTTATTTTCGCATATACAATCGAGAATTAAAGTTGCCGGCCAAAATACAGGAATATAAATAAAAAATTACTAGAATCGAAAAATTCGTGAAATGGGGGTGATATCAATAAATCTATACCAAGTTCAAAATAATTTTAAACCGCTGTAAATATTGCATTGTATTTAAAATTATTAAAGACAATTGGGAGCTGACGAGTCTTCATTCAGTTAAGTTTAAAAATGGTTGATAACATGAACGGAGACAAACCAAAAAATTCAATTGAAATTGAAATTATAATTTCATTTTTTCGATGCCCGGAAGCTTACAGGGTCGGAATTCCTGAGCAAAAATTATAGTGCTTTTCAACAATTTCTTACAAAATAATATTTTGCGTTAATATCGGAATTCGAAGCTCAAACGAATGCTCTTTCTTTCTAATCACTAGCTAGCTTCGAAATATACGAGGTTGTTGGTCAATTGCGACAGGTTCTGGTTGTGATCGCAATAACACGCAAGAACGCAATAGAATCATATTTTGTCAGTAACAAATGCAACTTAAATATAGAAAAATCATACAACACATCCATGTTGTAATGAAATAAAATGGCATCACTGCTTCATATATACGTTAGTATGAGTTACATTAATACACACATGAACATATCATACATGTTTATTGGAAATGTCTATACACACATTTTGTAAAAAAATATATATTTTGCAATTTTTTCTTTTTCACATCAGGCAGTTTGCTTATATATAATTTTTTAGAATTGGATTTAAAAAGAAAAAACCATTTTTAATTTTTTCCAAATTTTGCTTTTAAATTGAAAGAAATTTCATTATTTTTATAATATTTTTTTTACATGTCGTACATATTATTTATTTTTTTATTTTATTTGTTATTTTTACATGATATTTTTCTTATTTAATTTATATAAAACGATCCTCCTTAGGGCCATATTCGAAAACATTGATAGAAAATAAACGAAATCTTATCTTATTTGTGATGTAACCTAAATTAATTAGTAATTTCTTATTATACAACATTGATTGTGATACAAAAAATCAAAATACCGTTAAAGATGAGAATAATTAATTATATTTTTTTTTCGTAATAGTAAATTTTAACATTCCTAATTTTACATTTATAGATTAAACCAATTTGAAAATATTATTAATACACATAAGGATTTGTGGGAATAAAAAACTAATCAAACATGTTCGAGTGCATAATATGAAAGCAAGTTTGAATTAATTGACTAGCATTTTTCCATTCAAACCAAATCAAACACACTTGATTTCATAGTACAAAATCAATACTTTGAGTATCATATTAGAACTTGATAAATGATCATATGAGAAAACAAGTTTGAATTAATTGACTAGCTATCAAACATAATCGATTTTATGGTGTGAGAGCAACCTTTTACTCTTTCGAACATATGAAAGCAAGTTAAAATTAATTAAGTAGAATCTTTCAATTCAAACCAAATCAAACATATTCGATTTCATAACACGAGATCAACCTTTTACTCTAACGAAAATATGAAAACAAGTTTGATTAGCATGTTCCAATTCAAACCTAATCAAACACACTCGATCGCATAGTATGAGATCAACTTTTTGTATAATAATGACTGCCATTATTGTTTTACAGTTATATATTACACGTTATTTTTAGATATATACACAATATTTTGACATATTTTGAGTTAAACTTGAAAATGAATAAATAAATTGCATTGCAACTAATTCATTGATAATTCTCAACTTCATGATATTAAAGACCGCTAATTTCTTTTAAATTTTTGAATTCATTGTACAACTTTCGATTGAGAACAAGGAATTCTTGAATTTTCTTATCTAAAATTTAGTTTCACAAAATATTTTGTTGTTTTTTTTGGACAACATTAAATATTTATTTAAAAAAAAAAACTTAATTTGTATAAAAATCACCTCTTCTGTGATTTTGAATTGTTACTCTTCTAGACCTTTAATGCATATCTTAAAATATTTAGTGTTATTTTTATAATGTTGTCATTTTTAATGTTTTATTCGATATAAATTGTATGTAATTTCTAAGAAAATTATGTTTTACTTCAAAGGTAAAAAAAAAAAACAAACAAAACATGATGTTCTTTGTTTTTTATTTTAATTTTTATATTTTTTATTAGGTTATTTTTTTTTTAATTTATTGTACATGATATACAGTATACAATGATAGGATAAGTAGCTATGTGGATCATCATGATGGCTGATAATGATGAGCAATTGAGGGCGCTATCATTAGATATAATTTAAAAATTATCAGTGATGTTTAAGATCCCATTATTTTTTTATTTTGGGTAACCTCTATTTTTGGGAGAAAAACAAAACAACCAACAATGTAGCAAATGGAATTGTATTTTTGTATTTAACAATACCTGTAATTCTAATTGAGTAAATCATGTTAATAAATTTAATTTTCATTTATAATGTTAGAATTTAGTGATACGCACTGCTGAGTTCATTCTTAGCTCTCTTCACGTGTACAAAAAATAATGTTTTCTTACAAACCTTTATTAATTTAGCTAAACACAAAGGTGCTTATTTAAAGTAATTCACATAATTTCCAAGAGATGGCAATCACATACGAATAAGTAAAAGTTTATGGTTTTTTAAAAATATTTTTGTCATTTTTAGTTTAAATTCAATTGCCAATTTAATTATAAAAACGTAAAACTTAAAAGAATTTTATTCATAATTCATAAGGTAAACGAAAGAATAATGTAATTTGTAAATGAGTCATAACTAAACAAAGGTCCTTGCATGATTAACTAGTTTTCGTACAATTAAAGTGTAATATTTAAGAAATTCATTTGTTTCTCCTTTGATATTGGCAAGTAAATGACCCAGCCAATGGTTATCAGATAACTAAAATGTTATTTTAACATTTATAGTAAAGGTTTTATTTCGCTAAACTGATTTGCCGAAGATTTTTTTAGTCCATTCTTCAGTGACTGTCGTGATCCATTTAACAGAACTAATATATGAAAGCAAAAAGAAGAATATTTTGACTATATTGCCTCAAATATAATAAAATTAGAACGTAAATCCCTAGTTAGGCCTCGATGTGTAAGTGACGATACGGCCCTGGATTAGAAGATTTGATTTAACCCTCGTAATCCTGCATTCTTTAAATTAAAAGAAAATTTAATTTAATGAAATCTCGTAATTCTGCATGTCTTTAACTTTTTATCACCAACCAAATTTAGGTTGAGGATTATAGAAGTTCAAAGCATGCCTTATGATAATTGGTACAACTCTTTATTCTCATAATTTTTTCCTATATTTATTTTTCTTTGTTTGTAATTTCTAATTTCTTTTATGTCTCTTGTTTAATTTTTATTAGGTGTTCTTATTTCTTCAAAAAAAAAAAAAAATTTCTAATGAAATTATTTTTTCATAGATATTAGATTTCTTTTTATATTTTCTTTTTTTTTTTTTAAATTATATCCCATTTATTTTGGGAGATTCTCTTAAATGGACGCCATTTAAATTAATTAAGGTGCTAATTTTCTACGGAAGCCAAAAGAAAAGTAATAAATTTTTTTTTCTTCTTCTTCTTGTTTATTTATTTAGTATCTTTCATGTTAATTTTAAAATGTATTTTATATTTACATACGTGCACACAATATATTTACCTATATACTAAATAGAACATAATGTTTTTTTTTGATTAAATAAATTAAAAAGATGAATATAGATAATGATAGCTAGATAGATGTATGGTTAGGTACTCTTAAGTTTGGAAAAAGGCAAGAAAATGTAAAAGAGATAAGACCCCAATTTATTTAAATGCGGTAGGCTATTTCAAAAACAAAAAAATAATAATAATAAAGACCTATAATCATTGTCACGTAATAAACTAATTGGGGTGGACCTAAGCCATTAAGAAAATTGATGAGAAGCATATTTTTAGGTATTACTATAGAATTTTTTTTTTTTTTTTGGTAAGATTGCGTTATTTTTTCTATTTAGTTTTAGTTTGGAAAATGTTTAAGAGAAAAAAATATAAATAATTTTTATTCATGTAAAATATTTTTTTTTTTATTTTCAAACATTTTTAATCCTGTTTTCTTGTTTCCGTTTAATTAATGGCAAAAATTTTCAAAAATTTTGTTCATTCTCACGTTTTTAAAATTTGTACATGTATAAGTATGATATGAAAACTGTCAAACTTCTTGTATGATAGTGTGTAAATATTTACCAGTAACTAAATCTGATAAATATTATATAAAATCTACATATATATATATTTCTTGAAATTTTGAAAAGAAGAACGAAGTTTGGATGCAGTGCTAACAATAAGTTGCATCGGAGAATCATTTATACATTGAAAAACTATTAATTTCATATAATTTAATAGTTATTGAAGAAATTATCGTGTATGATTGCACAGGACGAGAGGTACCAAAATTTTTTAAATAAATTTTATATACTGTTAATGAAACAAGGATTATTCCGCTTTAAATCTGTTAAATTCACATACATAATATTTTTTTTTTGTATTCAGTTTTCGTATAAGTTTTTGTTAACACAAATTTAAAATATCACAATCAAACATGTTCGATGGAAGTTCGATTAAAACATTATTTATATTTTAATCAAGATTAATTATAAATTATAATTGCTGTCAAAGATAAAGTTTTATAAAACTCATTGATTACATCTCGTTACTCCAACAGAATTTTCATTATCATTAATATTTTAAATTCACCATTAAACCAAATAATTCAAATTTTCCACATATATTTAAAATTAGAAAAAATGAAAAATTATTTTCTTACCTTAGACATCTTAATTTTTAAATTTTCATCCATTACAGAACTTAAATTACAATCGGAGTGAAACAAAAATTCTAATGAGATTTGGCTGTTTGTCTTTTATCTCAGCTGCAATGTGTGTCTGTTTGGCTGTCGGTCTATCTGTTTTACCATCATCTTTAGCAAATAAAGTTTTAACATAGACAATTAAAATGTTTATATTTATGGAAGAAGCGGGTCTAATCGCCATAATATTCTGCTTCATATTAATTTTTTTTAGGATATATTCCGAGCAAACATCGGAAATTTTCTTGAATTCGTGCAATTTTAGTTTGGTAACCATTAACCGCGCAAACATCGAAAATTTTCTTGTATTCGTGTACTTTTAGTTTAGTTACCACTCATTTAAATATTACCGAAAATTCGAAAATTTATAATGTGGTATAAAAAATCAGAGTCGGCAAGCGATTGAAGAATAAATCGTTATCCAAATAATTTTTAATTATCCCTTATTTTTTTCTAAATTTCATAAATTTTTAAATATCATGTGCTGTGATATGCACATATTCAAAAAGAAAAATCCAATTTACATACGTCACGTCAATATAATTAAATCTTTAATAAAAATAAATATTTTGATCTAGCATGTAATAATGAAGATTTTTTATAAAATTTTAACATAGAAAATTTTCAAGGGTTTTCAAAATTTTAAAGGGTTTTAAATCAGAAAAGAATGAAAAAAGCCTTTGCATAACAAAATATGTGAATTCAGACCCAATTATTTAGTCATTTAGAAATCTGATAGAAAAAAGCAGCAGACTGTTTATAATTCATCACAATAATTATTGTTATAAGCATTAAAACTGCGAAATCAGATATAAGGGGTACTAAACTGCTTTTTCTGTTAAATGAATTGATCAGTTCTAGTTTTTAATCAGCAATTTTTCAATTTGTGCTTTTCGTCTACACCCTTATTTTTAGAATTTTGTCTTTACTTCAAAATTCTAATATGACACGGAAAATCTGAATAAATGAAATGCTCTCTTTTTTAAATATCACTAAAACAACTAAATAATCAAATTAAATACATATAATATCTTTGATTTCTGAAGAAAATTTGCAATTAATTCGATAAAACTCCAAAATATTAATTACCATAATAATTTCTTTTAAAATTCTTGCACACCTATGTGTTGTTTTTCTTGTAAAATTCATTAAATAACTATTTAAAAGTTACAATTTACTTCATTTGTATTGAGATTTTGCTGTACATGATATTATTCTGTTTTATCATTAATTTATTAATGAATTACAGCGACTTTCACGTGCGTCTATATAGGTGTATGAAGTCATAATATTTTCTTAATAGATAGAAACTAAAAATCACATCAATTTTCTCATACAGCACACTCTTGCCTTACAAAATAATAATGTTCGTGTAAACCATGCTGGCATATACATACATATATGAGAGCATAAATGTAAAATAATATTATTTTCAAATCAATATTTAAGGTGCGGAAAATTATTTCTTCCACCCTCTTAGTGTCGAATTTAAAGTTTTTTTTTTTGTTCTCTCTCTCTCTCTGTGTTTTTTATTAAAATAGAAATGACTTGGCAAAAACCAAATTAAGAAAAAAAAAAATAAATTTAAAAAAAAGTTGAAATTAACAACACCCATTTTGAGATGCATATATGAACCACAAAAAAAAAAGAGCAATAGAATGAACCCGACTTTTAACAAAAAAAAAAGAAAAAACAGTGCTTTCTAAACAAAGAAAAATAAAATTGAAGCCATAGGTAATATAAAATTTACCTGATCAAACTTCCGTTATAAATACCTTGAAATACAGAACCCGTACCGAAGATGAAACAAAAACCGCAGTTAAGGAATCGCGTAGCAGTTTTGAGATTTCTATATATATACAGAAAATTTCAAATATGACTTGTTCTGAGCCACAAAACAGACTTGAATTTGTGAAAAAACAATTCTGTTCATAAACCTTTAAAAGTTGATTTATAATATTTTTGTCAAAAAAAACCATTAGTTTTCTTGAAAAAACTAATCTCATTCTTACATTAAATTGACATAACATTCCTTTTCAACAGTTTCTATAGATATTTCAACTACAAAATCATATCATTTTCCAAATAAAGAGTTGGTTCAATTTAGGAATATATAGGTAAAGGTATTAAGAGGCCTATTGAATTAATACTAGTGTAATTTTGGTGCAATAATTTGAGCTCTTGAGCCTTAAATTTTGTGTGGCTATCTCTTAGCTATTTTCCTTAAAATAGCTTTCATTGCTGTTCAGTGCAAGCGTCTTAAGTTACAAACTTCATACATGCTCTAAATTAATTAATGATGGTAACCTTATTTATATACCATTTGCTCTGCCATGGGCTCAATTCCATTAACGCTCTTATTGTTAAAAGAAAAAAAATTTTTTATTTTACCATATTAATTTTAATAAAATGTTATGAACCAAAAAATTGCTTATTTGTTAAAATTTTAATTAAAAAGTAAAAAAAAAAATTTTTTTTTTTTTTTTTTTCGGAAAAACATTAGAAAAAGAATTGTTCCTTTTCATATTTTTTTTTTTAAATTTTCGTTTTCTTTCTTTTTAGTCCTAACTCTCGTTTTTAACGCATCCCATTGTTTTACTCTGCTCTAAGACAAAACCAGTGTGGAGATGAACTCAATTTTTTTTTGTTAACGGTGTTGTTATTCTCATGTTTTTTTTTTTAGTAAATTTTAGGATTAGATTTAAGATTAAGTTTTTGTTTGTTTTTGTTCTTCATCTACTACTAAAGAATGATTAGCATTTTATTAAGTCGAAAGGGGTTAAAATACTAAAGGTAAAATTTTGTAATTCATATGTGCATGAGAAAATGAAAATTAATTTGTTTAAAAATTTATTTTTGATGTTGAGTAATTAATTTATAAAAGTTAGCCATTTTGTATAACACTTTATTTACCTTGTTAGTTATTTTTATGGTTGGGTAATTTTATCTTTTCATTAAATCCTTAAAATATTAAAATTTCAAATAATTTGTCTATTCAAATTTTTGTACTATGCTACGATAGTATAACAATTATAATTGAATTTCAAATTTCTTATTATCTAAAGATTATTAAAGATTATAACAATTTGTATATATTTTAATTATTTTGAATGGTAACACTCAATAAGAAATGAGATGCAACGATTAGAATCTAAAGTTTTTTGGCATTTCGGAGTGATTATACCCTTGAATAATAATATTCTAAGTTCAAAATAATTTAAATATTAACTAAAATTACTCGTGTAGTTATGAATTTCGAAGCATAATATCCTAAAATTATGCTAAGTAAATTTACATATTTACTGAAGTATCCAATGAGACTGTTAGGAGACAAAATAAAATTAAAATCACTATATCCGTTTTGGTCCAGAACACTTTCGCAAAATATTTTCTCATAAAATATTATTCTTACATCAGGAACTATTTTTAACCAACTGAATTCTATAAACTTCTATAACGACATAAGAAATAATTTGGTTTAATTTCATGTACTTTTCAATTAAAACCATCAGGAACCCGTCACAATTATAGGCATCTGAACAATTTATACAATATGTGCGTAAAACCAAGTTTATAACTCTGTTCTTCCTGTAAGTTTGTTATTATGATTTTGAAAAAAAAATCATTTTTTATTTTTAGTTTAACAAATTGTTAATACGAGTAGCCTTCTTCAGTTTATAGATTCTTCACTGAAGATCGTATTCAATTAATTTCGACACAATGTTCAACAGAAGACGCTTTTGCTTCCTTTTCTTTCTTTTGCTTCGTTCTTTCACCATATTTTGCTCTTTCTGACTGATTTTTTGCAAGCTTATTAATATTTATTTTCGAATGAGTATGGTGGCATAAATCCTGTATATTTCGGATATTTTGTGTAACAGCGATTTGATTTGGTATTTTTTTTTGCATATTTTGCTTGCCGTCACAGATTTCTTCAATTATGATTTCTGACACTGATTGTACTTACATAAACATATGCATGACTTTCTCATGCCAGTTTTCAATTATGCATTTAATGCTAAACAATTAAACTGCAATCGCACATTTCTTCGACTTTAATTCCAACATTTTTACGTGGCTTTATTAATTAAACAACATAAAAGTCACAATAAAATATGCATTAAGAAAAAACAACAAAAACAAAATATGAATATGAAAAATATTTCAGAACATTTTCAAAAAATTCAAATTATCTAATAACATAAATCACAAAACTGAGAAAAAAAAAATCATAAATCGTTTTTAATTTTTAATAAGTCGTCTTTTTTTTTTATTATTATAAAACATAAATTGTTTATTTTAACAAAAAGATTTTTTATTCACACTTCATATTCAAATGTCAAATGAATGAATGAAGCAAAAAAAAATTAAAAAAATTTTGGCGCCATCTAGACGCACCTTATAATTTTGGGGGATAGTAATAATTCTCTATATCATAAAATAGCATAAAAAAATGAGACAATGGCAACGCAATAACAGCCAACAATCACAACACACAATATAACAACAGCACAGCACAGCAATATTAACAATACAAGGCGACATAATTTTTTGGCATAATAAAAAAAAAAAAAAACATCAAAACCTCCAGAAAAATGTGTACAAAACGTGGAAAGACCTAATTAGGATTTGTTAAGACTGTTCACCTCTTCATTATTGTAGTTATTGTGATTTATGACTTTTTCATTTTGTTTTGTTGGATGGTTAGTAGTAAGTCTGCTCTTCTGATGCGCCAACCAAATTTTTATAATTTTATTCACTTATGTTTTATTTTTTTCTGTTGTTTTAATGCGATCGTAATTTGATTTCCTCAAATGTGTAAAGTAAATTGACGTTTTGTCTCTGTATTTTGTTCTTTTATTTTTGCTCTCCTCATTTTCACGCACTCTCTCTCTCCCGCTGGCGCTCTTTGTTTTTTAATAATGCTGTTTGTCTTGTTAATAATTTAATTTTTTTTGTTTCTCTTCTCCCTCTCTACCATTAACCTTGTTCTTCTTTTAGAAAACTCACAAATTTTTAATTTAATGGTTGATTGATTAAAAAATGCATTTATTAACAGTCCTGACAGAATGGTTAGGATATTTGACGTATTGACTGATCTTGTTGTATTTTAATGCTAAATTTTTTTTTTTTTTGC